GGTGTCATCAGCATCTCTGTAACAGAGTCAGCCACGAGCCACTGAGAGGTCCTAAAACCTTGGGAATAAAAATGTCAGTTGTCCAGGAAGCATACTGAGCTTCTCAGAAGGAGCCAGTGACCATGGGCCTGTAGTCAGTGATGGCCCTGACTTAGGGAGGGTAGGTCTGGAGCTGATTCAGCTCCTGGGACAGCTAGCTGGACGAGAAACAAAGCCAGAATGGAGCTGCTTTCCAAAACTCCTCAAGGTCTCACCGAATATAATGAAACTACTTTAGCAACCAATCACAATTGTACAAAATGTCAGTACTTTGCTCCTACTAATCATATCAGAGGTTACCTAACCCTTGTGAAAATTTCCCTAGCCCTGCTTAAAGGATGTCTCTGAGTCCCTGGAGTTGTTGCCATTTTGATTTATGGTTGACTTCCGCATGTTGGTAATTGCTGCAGAGTAAAAGGTCTTTCTTTGCCTTTGCATATTATTTGAATCTGGGGTCTTCCCTCAGCGATTCTTGGACTCTAACGTCAGATGGTATAGAAGAGCTGGAGTGTGCGCTCTATTTCTCTGAGGGGTGTGACCACAGCACTCACAGTTCCGAGACTGCTCAGAATTGAATATGATAGCCATCTTGGAGAGTCTTACTTGGTCTTAAATACATATTTATAGTTTAGATATTTGGATGTGGAGAGAATTATAGGATTTCCAAAAAACCTATTTGAACTATCCAAAACTTCTTTTTAGTTAAAACAAGTGAGCAAATAAAAAAAATTTGTTAGGACTCATGAGCTGTTTTTAATCAAGAATTATTTTCAGGTAAGAGGTTGAAGGTACTTGATATAATCAAGCAGTAGCAGCTCTTAGTTTTTTTTTTTTCTTCACTTTATGCTGTGTCCTATTTTCTATAACTATTTGACAAAACATGTTACTGTTCATTAAAATGTATTCAGTATGGAGAACTTCCAGTGATTTTTTTGAGACTTTTCCAAGGTATGGGGTACATGTATTTGAAGAAAACATCTTTTAAGCCATAACATTCTAAAGGGAACGTGTGTATGCATGGGAAAGCCACAGGGCCAGCGATACTCACTGAACTGGAAATAGCATGTGCAGATTTCTGTGGCAGGTCTCCTTTAGATGGCCTGAGCAATTCTCAGACTTCTCATCTCTCAAACCTTATCAGTTCCTAAAGGTCTGCTTGAGAACTCTCAGCACTAATGGGCAAAGTTGCCTTTCCTCAGCTTCTCAGAACAGCTGGTCCTGAAACCCTGACCTTTTAGTTTAATAACAGTTGTAGTTGAGAAAATGTTCAGATCCAGAGAGTTGGAGAAGTTTCCAGAAAGGCTGTTTTAAATAGCGGGCTCTGAGCGCTGTATCTTTTTCTCCTGGGCGCTTGAATCTGACCTATCAGAAGAAATACATTGTTGCTTTCTGTATTCTATTGATTTAAAAACAAATAACATGAAGCTTAGGTTTGCTCAGGAGCCATTACCACACTGCTTATTTTCTGCCTGTGCTTTGATCTGCTACTGTAGATTCTAAATTCTCTGTGCTAGGTCATGAGTTATCTTTTGTCATTTTAAAATGTGGATGCTAGCTTAGGTAATTACTTTTCCTGCTGTGACCTTGAGACCAAAAGTTATGAATTTTTTCCTCCCATTTCTTGGAACTAGCTAGGACATTATACAGCCGTGTTCTGTTCCTTTTACCTACCAGAAGGACTGTTACCCAGCCCATCACTTGGGCATGCCTTCACTTGGGCATGCCTTCTAGAGCTTTCTTGCTCCTTCCTTCCTTCCTTCCTTCCTTCCTTCCTTCCTTCCTTCCTTCCCTCCCTCCCTCCCTCCCTCCCTCCCTCCCTCCCTCCCTCCCTCCCTTCCTTTTTTTTCCTGCTGGTAGGTTCCTGTTTGCATTTCCCCCACCCCTTGTGGCCTGCCTATTTTATGCTACCTTTAACCCATTTGCTCTGCTTCTAGCCTTACCACAGGCTTGGGGGCTGACTAGGACAGGCAGAGAGTATTGGGAAAGAATAGCCACCCTCCAGTCTGCATTCCCTCCCCTCTCCACAGCACTGCGCCTGCAGTCTTACCTGCATGGCCTTGTTGTCATCCACCCACCTGGTTGCCATTTGGTAGTGCCATTTTCATTTTGTCCCAGTGATCACATCAGTGCTTGCTTGGGCCTTTCCCTGGTAGGAAGCTCCAGTGTCACAGACAGGAAATGAGCTACCAGGATGTGCCATTGCACTAAGGGAAAGGAGCCAATGCAGAAAGTCATGCTGCATGCTCTAAGACTCCCTTACTATGGAACCTGAGAAGCTGGGCCCGCAGATGCAGAGAGAGCATCTGTGGCATGGAGAGCAGGGAGGCGCTGGGGGTAGGTTGCTGACTTTCAGCTCTGGGTGAGGAAGCTCCGGACAGACAGAATATGCAGCATGGTGACTTTATTTTACATATTTTGTACTTGAGATTTGATAAGACCCAACAATACACCCACGATAAACTGGTGGCAAATGCATTAATGTAGTCATTATGTAATTTGTATGATATTAAATAATCACATTGAGTATATACTGTTTTTGCCTATTAGACCCCAATAATTTGGAAAAATAACCTAATAAACCAAAAAGACACGAGCCTTTCTTTTCTCAGCTTACACGGAAAACAGATCTCAGTGAGTCGTATTTAGACCTAACCTACTGAGGTCTTCCAGAGGCCTAGTTTTATTTGACCAGTTGAGTGAGCGTTGACAGAGAATCCTAGTGAATCTTACCTGAGAAAAAGTGTTCTACTGTGATTGGAACTCAGATGTGGCTGCAGATTGACAACCTGTTGCTTACCCTGGTCTGCCAGACTTCAGGATAGGTTTTGATCAGGTAGTACTGATTATGTGTGTTTCTAGTGGAGCTATGTCCAACCTGAGGGGATTGTCTCACATTGAGAGCTTTTCTCAGAAGTTGGTAATGATCTGTCTTTAAAAAACTCAAGAGGAACTAGTATACACCACCCCACCCCAAACACATAAACAAACCCAACCAACCAACCAACCAACCAGATGGACAAAAGACCCCAAAGGGTGCATATGTCCACACATCTACACGTATCGTCGTCACCAAGAGCAGTGGAAGATAACCTGCTGTCCTTCTCATTCCCCATGTTCTCCATCCAGGCAGCTACCACTCAGCATACTAGCATTCCTGGGCATACTAAAGTGAGCATACAGTCTGTGACAGTATCTAACCTTTTGTCCCTGAGTTCCTTCCCATACATCTTTGTTGTAGCATGTACCAGGACTTCATTCCTTTTTATATAATTACATGAGTGGATGTGCCATACTTTAGTTACCTGTTTATTAGCTGATATGCATTTAGATCATCTCCTCTTGGGCTATTATCAATAATTATGTTACACATTTTCATAAACAAGTTTCTGTATGAGTAAATACTTTGAGTTCTCTTGAGCATATGCAGTACCTGAGAGCTCAACTCTTGGATCACATTGAGGATTTTGGGAAACTGCCAACTTGTTTATCCTGGCAGAGGTGTCATTTAGAATCCCTAGTGATGCCATTTATGTCCCCACCAGTAATGTATGCGGGTTGGGTTTCTCTCTTCACCACTTCTCACTCTTTGCCTTTTTGATTGCACGAATCTGTGTATCATTGTGTATCAAGTGGCATTTTGTTTCATTGTGGTTTTGGCTTGCATATTCCCAGTGACTGATGTTGAACAGTTTCCTGTATGTTTTTGCCTTTTGCTTATCTTCTTTTAAACAATGCCTATTTATATTCTTTACTGGTTTTTATTGGTATTATATTTTCTCATTTGGATATATTATAATCTCTGCCTACAAGTCTCCTTGTAAGCTCTGATCGGTTAAGCCCCCACCCTCATTCTGTGACTCCTCTTTCCATTCCTTGATGATGTTCTTGATGCTGTCGTTGCTTCCATACAGTCTATAACCGAGGGGAAACAGCCTTCAAACCTTTTATGTACCATCACGAATGGTTATTGCTTAGGGTCAGTTCCATATTTTAAAAAGGGTTTTTGTTCCATATTGTAAGTTTTTGCATATGTCTGAGATAAGGTATGTATTTCTTATGTCTGGGTCACCAAATAATGTATACGGATTGTCTGGTCTTCCAGCTAAGAAGTGGAACTATTAGGAATAACATTAGGTCCTCTGTTTTTTTAAATCCTCCCAATGGTTTTGAGGCTTTCTGCTAATAATTTTAGTTAGTAGTTTTCTAATGGGAAAGAGATGGTTTTTACTTATTTCTTATGGAAAGCTCTTAGAGTAGTCTGTAAAACTTGTCCGTTATTTACTGTTATAGCTGTAAGAATCTTTACAAGACATATTGTATACAGTCTTTTAATTGGAAAGGCCAGATGTTGCCAGTGAAGTCTCCAGGTACTTAGGAAGCTCCAGCTGTGTGCTCAGTACTGTTCCGTGTTTCTCTCCAGGTGTTGGCACTTGATTTGAATGACACATATCCCAGAAAATATGGTTTCTAAATACCCATTAATCATAAATACCCTTTTCATAAATTATGGAAAATAAATATAAATACAAATATTCCATGCTCTGTAATAAATATTTGTGTTAATTATTTAATTATTGAATTGAGAAGCTTTTAGCATCACTTTCGTCCCTAAAGTACTTGACAGTCTGACCTCCTTTTACAGATATTGTCAGGCTTTAATGTTAGGACATCATTTTAAAGACCTTCACTTAATGGCTTAGAACCCACTTAAGCAGCAAGTAGTTCCTTGAGTTTATTATAAATTTTGGCAGGTGTGGAAATTCCTAAGTCACCAGGGGATTCATGATTCAATTACTCTCAAAGTATACTAATTGGCCCTTTTTACAGTGCTCAGGGAATTCCAAGGAGGCACTGACCACCTGGCAACATTTTGCCCATTGAGATGCAGCTTAGCCATCTCTTCTTGTTTTGTTTTGGCAAGCTACTTGTTTTATCTCCTTCTGCTTTTGTGTTACTTGTAGCTTCTGATGAAGAGTTGAAAAGAAGAGTAGCTGAGGAGCTGGCATTGGAGCAAGCCAGAAAGGAGTCGGAACACCAGAGACGGTGAGTCCCGAGGAGCTTCAGAAGATTTGCGTGGACTTGCGATGAGTAGCATGCTTAAGGAGGATTTATTTATTTTATTTTATGTAGATGAGTGCCTTGCTTGCATGTATGTCTATGCACTTTCAGTGTTCCTGGTACCTGTAGAGGTCACAACAGAGCACTGGATTTTCTGGAACTGAAATTAAAGAGAGTTGTGAGTCACCTTGTGGGTCCTCTGCAAGAACAGCAAATGCTCTTAACTGGTGATTTAAAACAAAACAAAACAACAGCAGAAGCAATAATAGCAAAATTACTTTTCTTTGTATGGCAGAACTCTAAATATGCTGAACATAGACACTTGGCTCTTTTGCTTTGAGATTGTGGTTGGTAGAGCCCTAAATTGTTCATGTCTTTAAAGAATGATTGTTGTATGAGCTTTGTTTTTTCAACATATGGAAATTAGTTTCTGAGGAGTCCCTAGGAATATCTAAATCTCTAAACGAATATGTTTAAGATTGAAAATTCAGTTGCCCATTACTCTGTATTAAAATGAATACTATTGTAGGTAGTGATGAATATCGTATGTCACACATAAGGCTTGAATTAATAAATAGCACTAATTAGTAATGTACCAACTTAAAAAAAATTGAGATGTCATAGAAATTTGCATAGTTAAAAATGAAAGTTCTCTATAATTCTGTCTTGAAGAACTAACCACTTTTTCTTTTTTTTTTTTTTTGGTTTTTCAAGACAGGGTTTCTTTGTATAGCCCTGGCTGTCCTGGAACTCACTCTGTAGACCAGGCTGGCCTTGAACTCAGAAATCCGTCTGCCTTTGCCTCCCAAGTGCTGGGATTAAAGGCGTGCACCACTACCACCCAGCCACTTTTTCATATTTTATTCTAGACTTCTCATATGTAGATACTCCCATTTTGTTGTTGCCATTATTAACACTATAAAAAAAGAATAGATAAATACCTCATTGAAGTAATGGAGTTAAAACCTGGAAGCAGTTCAGTATCATCTTGGGGGAAGTTAAGCATGAATCATGTACAGTAGAAAGTCATGTAGATCCATGTGTGCTTTTTCAAATAATTTGCAAGAATCATAGACTGGTGGGAGCTGGGGAGAGAAGCAGTATGTAAAAAACCCCAGATAATACATATACATACATTTATTTTGAGAGCGTGTTACGTTACGTTTTAAAGATCTAAAGTTTGTACATAGAAATGTGCGAATACATTATAAGCCAAGTTAAAGAGTCAAAGGCTTTGCTTCCTACTTGTACAGGTTCTGAAAGCTACACAGAACATAGAACACTGAGGTCATATGGTAATGTGATAGCTTTCCACTTTGAGTAGTAGGTACATGCCTACATGGAACAGGAGCTTAGAATTTATTTGTAAGTCATTTGACAAGGTAGTAGAAGGAAGCTTTGGATTGGATTGGAGTCCTCATTGGCCGTAGGAACTTCAACATGTGATTTAAGTGTTTTTGTCCTTCATCCCCCAGCTGATGTGTTTGAATTCACAGTGTATCCATACAACATACAGAAAAAGAATATAATCTGTTGACTATGTCCATCATTTTTTAAGGAAGTAGATAAAGCGTTATCACTTAAAAAAATTGAGATATAACTAACATTTCAGAAGATGTGTGTGTGTGTCTTTATAGTGACTTTCTATGAAACACTTTATAATTATTTATTTACTTTAGGTTTATGGAGTGTATATAATTAGTGAAGTTTATTAAAAAAATCCACATCAGTTTCATTAAGAAGTAAAAGCAGCATGTTATAGTAGCATTTTTTTTATATCTTGAAATTATATTTTCTTTAATTAAATTTTATTTTCATAAGGATTTGGGGGGGGTCAAATTCATGTTTACTTTGCTAACTGTATTTCGGGAGTTCTTTATTACCACATGGTGCAGGCTTTTCCTTTGTAATTCACCATGGTAGTATGCGTGCTTTTCCCTGCATGATTTGACTCCTATGTGTTCTGCTCTGGCCATGAAAGGGAAAGGGCGGATGAGATGGACGAACAGGAGCGTGAGGGCCCCTCCAGGTGGGATACGGTTGGCACCTAGCTGTAACCTGGACAAATGACAATTGAGAAAGGGTTTATTTTCTGTCACCTTTTCAGAGACCAGAGGGTAGAACAGCTGTTTTATTATTATTTTTTCTTTAAGAAAAATGTTTTGTTTGAAGCTTTCTTCACAACAACCCCCCAGCTGTCAAGTCTTGACAAAAAGTGTGTATTCTAAATGACAATTGGACAAATCAACAACTTTTCCTACCTTCTTCCTTTTTTTTCTTCACCAGAGAAGAAACTTTAGCACAAGCATTAAGAAAATTTTTCATTCAGTCTTCTAAAAGCAGCATCTTGGAGTGACAGTGCATTTATACATTGGCATGTCTTTGCCTAAATTTGAATAAAAACTTGTAAGCAGTTCTTCAGAGTGGTTCTTCATGCTCTTACATTGTCACCTACACAAGTCCTGCTGGCTAAGTTTTTTCTTTTTTCTCAAATGCACACAGAACTGTCTACCAGTTCTCCACTGTATGAGATCTAAATAAAGATACATAGACAAGTAAATTTCAAATACGTATCTTTGAGGACATTGAAATTAATTTCCACAGTGATATTTTTCTTTATAGGATTATTATAACTCCACATCCTAGCTGTTAATTGATGCAAAGTATTGAATGTTCTAATGACATGTGCACTGTGTAATGTTCAACCATGTTGTACCCGGCTCTCTTCTCCTGTGTTCCCTATTTCTGTGAGGTGAAATGGTCAACTTTTTTTTAAGTGCAGTCATTTTCTTGAGCAAATTTTAAAACTCATTCAAAACCAGAGACAAATATAGGAACACCCAGTTGTATCTGTGCTCTGTCAGATGCTGAGTGGTGAGGAGAAGCAGGAAAGATTTAACAACTTTGCAGTAGAATTGTCTTCTGTCAGGGCAGCTTAACTCAGGTCCTTATTTCAGGGAGATTTCTTTGAACCAAAAGATCAAATCTTAACTGTGGTTAACTTAGGAAGCCTGATAGTTCAAAAAGGAAGACAGAAGAACCATTAGCTAGGGAAAATGGAACTGGCTATGGAACTGGCTAAGACTGCAGGAGAAAGGAAGCCATTTTTCAGCAGGAGATACAGACGAGGGTCCCTTAAAGGGAAGTGGGTGGTAGAATCTCCCTGAATTTAAGATGCCATTGCTTTCAAGATGTACCACTGAGAAAAGAAAATGGCTGCAAATTGTGATACAATGTTTCATCTCTTAGAGTTTCTTATTAAAATAACCCATTAAGACTAATTCTGAAAAAAAAAATGCTGCCTGTGTATTCATAAACAAAATAAACTGGTTAAGGTGGTGGTTCTCAACTGGGGGAATTTTGGTCTCCAGGGGACATTTGACAATATTTAGAGACATTCTTGGCTGTCACACTTGTTCAGTCTAGTAGATGCTACCTAAGATGCTGCTAAAGTTCATGTAGTTCACAAGACAGGCTCTCTACTACCTTCTCTCCCTAACAAAAAGCGTTGCCTGGCTAAAATGCCAGTTGTGCCAACAGTGAAGTCCCAGGGTTCAAGCCTGTTTCAGGCCTTTGCACACTGGGCTTCACTCATTGATCCATTTCAGGGTGCTCAGTTGTGATGTCCCAGTTTCCCCACATTGTATCATCTTCGGCATCCTCAAAACCTTGGCAATATAGCATTCCTTAAAGGATTGCTCCACTGCCACTTCTGGAAGTTTTCCAAGCTGCTGACACCACTTCTGTAAATTTTGATGCTCTGTGCAGGCGATGACACCCGAGGCAGGACTCCCTCTCTGCAGTCAGGAGGTACTTTAGGCATGTGAAAGTGTGGAAAATATGTGTTGGTGAAATCAGCCCATCTGCGCGCCAGACCATGAGATCCATCAGATTGTTTGGCACCTTGGCAGGCTTGCCCTGCCTTCCTCCCAGAGCAGATGCCCTTTCTCTGCTGTTCTGACTAGTCATGGCACACACATTTAGACAAAGTCATGTCAGCCCAAGAGACTTCTTCTAGCCACTCAGTATTTACCCCCACTTCTTTTAGGTCCTGTTCCTTTATGCTGGCTTTATGCTGACTTTCCTCATGAGACATTTCTTGTTAGTGCCATAGTGACAGCAGAGCTGAGTACAAGTTTTGCAGCAACCTATGCTATATATTCTAATGAAAAACCATAAACAACCAACCACATGTGTACATGGACTATCCATTCACTGCACTGTGGATCTGTGGGACACTGGGGTATTTTTCTGATCATGCTCCCAAATTACAGATTATGAGCCTCCATGATTAAATTCTTTTGTCTAATTTGAAATCATGCATTTGCTCATTAAAACATCTATTAGATGGAACAGTCATTTGGTCTGCTGCTGAGAATCCAGAGCAGCCAGCCTATTTTTACAGGGACAGTCTGCTGTGTATGTAGGCTGAAGTTGACCATACTGCTTTTGCAGCTACAGCAGGCCAATGTCACAAGGATACAATACACTATTGCTACAGTTTGAACATAGTCTTTTAAAAATATGATTTACTTCTCCCCTTGTCCTGCCTCCAAAAGCCAATCTCTGACAGCAAGAAAAATATGACTACTTCTGACCTTTAACCCTTGACATTCGAATTTCACCTCTTTACCTATAAAAGTGAGAGTGTTTTAGTTTTAATAACCTTTCTTCAGGAAATCAAGAAGGAAAAAGGAGTAGCTATCCAGTTGTGTAGCTAGCTGTCTGTCAGCTGAGAGGGTTCCTGCCTGCTATTTTTTAAATAGATATCAATTGAGATTTGTCCTCAGTTTTAGTAATTTGAAAAATTATATTATATTCATTGAGTCTTAATTTAGTTAAATAAATTAATCATAAATTTTATCAGCTGTCTTCTTGAAAGCATAGCATAGTTAACTTATTTTTTTCCATTGATAGTGGTATGGAATAGGAAATTAAAAATAGGAATGAAAACATTTTTGTATCTGTTAGTTTATTGTGATAGT